GCTGGAAAGGACCTTAAGACCCTTAAGTTCCAATCCCCCTGCCATGGGCAGGGACACCTCACACTAAACCATCTTACCCAAAGCTTTGTCCAACCTGGCCTTGAACACTGTCAGGGGTGGAGCATTCACAACCTCTCTGGGTAGCCCATCCCAGCGCCTCACCACCCTAACAGTAAAGAACTTCTTCCTTACATCCAATCTAAACTTCCCCTGTTTAAGTTTTAACCCATTGCCCCTTGTCCTATCACTACAGTCCCTAATGAAGAGTCCCTCCCCAGCATCCCTACAGCCCCCCTTCAGATACTGGAAGGCTGCTATGAGGTCTCCACGCAGCCTTCTCTTCTCCAGGCTGAGCAGCCCCAACTTTCTCAGTCTGTCTTCATATGGTTTACATCAGGTTTAAACTGCATTCAGCAACAGTGTTCTGTTTAGGAACAGGTTAGAAGAAAAAAATCTGCCTGGGACAGATTCAGCAGAACAAGCCATGCTCTGGAATAGGTGGATGGGTAAAAACATGCTCAAAGATCCCTTACAGGCTACCCTTTCTTAAGGGCAATTGTCCTGAAGTGAGGAGACCGCCATGCCTACAGTAAAGCCAAGGGGAAGTCAGAGCACTGCAGCTTTGGAGGAAACAGTCATAGGAAATCCCATTATCTGCAACAGCTCAATGTAGAGGTATACACTTATACCTTATATACTAAATGTCATCAACTTAATCCTGTGATGCCCAACAGAGAAATCGCCCTCAGTCTTGAACCTGTAAGCCCATAACTAAAACCAGATCTGCACTCAAATCCCAGTGTTTTGCTCTCCGATCCTTGATAAAGCAGCAACTGGGGTCATTTTGTGCATCACAAAACCATATATACATCAGTTTTATCTTCTGTCACCATGTGACCTACTTGCAAAGTTCCTCCCTAGATGATTAAGATGAGAAACAGGGACAGAGCTAACAGAACAGCACAAGTTCTTCCGCATGCAGTTAAAAAAGCTGGGTATAAATAGCCACCCACCACCTCCAATCCACCACAGCAGCTTAACACTAACCTTTTTTATTGGTCGTGAAGTATTTGGAGTCCGTCATGGTTCCAGTTCCTTACAGCACCTGGGGAGAAGAAAAATACAGGAAGAAGCAGTCAGACAGCGCTGGGAGCTGACAACACCCAGTTTGCAAGGCAGGAACTCAGAGGAAGGATGGCTGGTGAGTGTGTAACATAAGGGGAAGCAGCAAACGCTTTATATCCACAGGCACAAGTTTCACAGTCTTCATTCTGCACCTGCAGCTGCTGTTACTTGGCAAACCCAGGGATTTAAAGGGCTCAGATGAACAATGTCAGTGAAAACACCACAGCCCGAGGTGGGCAGGCTGGGAAAGCAGGGATGCTCAGCCCAGCTTTTCAAACTCTCAGTCTCAGAAGGGGAAAAGGGGCTTTTAACTCCTTATAATCAGCAAATCCTGACATGTTCTGCAGCTGCCTTTCCCGCAGGTTCACCATTTCGTTTGCCATAAAAAGCACGGCACATCTAATATCTCGACTGGAAGCCAGAAGTCCATGATGCAGACAAAGGAAACTGTCAACTCCCCCTAACGATACTTCCCTGTGTTGCATCTTGATGGAAGGAACAATTAACCCCACTTGCAACACCCACCCCGAGGCCCTTTTATTTCTTTCCCTCCTTTGGCTCCCGAGAGATGCAAAGTGGTTGTTTGCAATGAAAAGCCATTACTTTTCTGTTCTCCGAAGCCTGAAATTGAAATCTTTCTCTGCCAAGAGCTGACATCCCACCTCTGACACACACACAGGCTGATTATTTCAGTGCTGCACTTCAGGTTTGTGGACAGGACTGACAAACGGTGCTGGGCCAGCAAGTGCTTAAGAGCCACGAGAATGCTCTCACCAGCACTTTCCTTGTCCCAGAGAACTGAATTATTAATACTTTAGAATACAGGGATTGCCCAAATGTACGTGGATAGCCATCATTTTATCCTTACAATTGCCAGCTCCATGGCAAATATGACTCAAACAATTTTCAGCTGAACTGAAAAACAAGCAAAGGAGCGGGCAGTTTTAGTGCTTTTCGTGGAACAGTGCATCAGTACTAAGAATCTATGACTCTAAAACTATCCAAAGAAAAGGGTTTTCCCACCTCTTCCCTCCTGTTTCTTTTTTCCCAATTCCTCTTCTCTTGTACATACTTCCATGACCTTAAATGTTATCAGCAAAGCAGCAAGTCATCTGTTCCCTAAACACCGCCTGTACTGCCTCTAAACCTTGCAGCTCTTGCTGGCTCAGCACAGAAGGACAAGCACAGCTTTGAACTCCAAGACACTGCCCAGCAGCAGCACAACCAGCTTGCTGTTTCTTAACACTTTCCTTCCTCATCCTTTAACCAACCCCAACACCACTGCCGTTCTTTTCCACCCTTATCCCCCTTGACCAATTCCTCAGCAGTTCAATTCCCAGCAGCAGCAGCTGAGGGGGAATGCCACTGTTTCTACCACCTTCAATGTGCTCTATAGCCATGCAGAGGTGTCGTCATCTTGTCCCACTGCCAAGCAGCCAGATGAGAAGCAACCTGTTGCTTCATCCAGCTCCCCAGAGCTCCAGCCTGCCCTGTGCCTGTGTGGTTACCACCTCATCCCAATGAGGCAGCATGACTGGGTTTGATTTTCATCTCCCTTTCTGCTCCTGCCAAGCTGGAGAGCAAAACTATGCCTGGGGACAGGTCTGGAAGCACATTCCTCCTGCAGGAGAGGTTTGCCCTCCTTCCAAAACAGAGGCTGGGTTGGGAAAGCCACAGAAACTATAGCACTGCAATCTTTGCAGCTAAAATATCACAGCATCCTGAAAGCCGAAGCTGTTGTGGGTCTTGGTTTATGACTAAGACCAGACCCCATGTTCAGCTGCAAAGCTACTGCTGACAGAGTCTTTCAGACTTGAGCCCAGCTTAAAAGATGACCTAAAATACTTTCCTCTACAAGAGTGTTTGGTATAGTGCTATGCAAAAGGCACTGAAAGTAACCTTGCTGTTCTTTGTTTGCACTGTATGTGGATTTATCAACCCAGGTCATACCTCTCAACTGAGCTACCCTGATACTGGTTTTAACAGTGGCCAGAGCAGCAGATATGAGAGAAAACTGAGGAGCAAAAACCCCAACAAACCATCATACACATCATCCATCCCAGTTGCATAAAGCTACACAGAGGAGGAAGAAACCTTCTGGAATTTCAGAGATGATCTTTAAACCCAAAACCAGGACATTTTGCTGTTCTTCTAACTTCAGATGAAGAATCCTAGGCACACTCAGCCAAGGCTAAGCACAGTGCATGTCTTTACACCCTGTTTTGATAGCTGTAAATGAGATCTGACAGGTCAATTAGCAAACTACCATATTCCAAGTGGAACACCGGAGAGAGCTCTTCTTCTCATGAGCACTCAGATTGCTGCTTCATGATGTCAGAGCCTGCTTTGCACATTGTTCAGTGACAGCACTGGGTATAATCTCATCTACTAAGCAAACCCAGCTCGGTTTACAGCAAGTCCCAGATGAAGGCCAAACCCAAACCAGCCCAAATATACAAATAGCAATGTTTCAAATAACTCAGGAAAATGCCAGCTCCTTGCACACTAATCTAAACTGAAGAGAGATAAAGATAAATTCTGACAACATCATGATCATCCTTGTATTTTTAGGAGAAAATCCACATCCGATTGTGCCCTCACTATTGCTCTGTGTCCAAGGTGGGAACAGGTAAGAGGTGTTTTAGCTGACAGCAAAAGGCTCCTGTTCCAACCCCTGCAAACAGGAAGAGAGGAACTTCTCCAGAAGCTCTGGCAATGTTTAATGCTATAAGCATTGCCTTGACATTTAAATGGAGACTGAACCAAAAATATGATTAAATTAAAAGAATAAGGAACCATCATAGCCTGAAAGATAAAGCTTCCTCAGCCCAAAACCACACAGCAAAATGGACCCTGTGTCTGACCAACACCTGCTTTGCCCCAGGCATGACTCCAACAGCCTGAGCAGCTCCCACCACTGATTTCACATCACTATAAAGAGGAAGGCAGCAGCTTTAAGGCCTCAGTATTGATCCAAACTCTTCAGCACTGAAATGACGCAGTGTTGCACCCCTAAACCTCTAAAGTTATCCCTGGTTAACACTCCAGCTGGTGCCACACCTTCTTATCTGCACCCATATTGACTGAGTAGCCACACAATAGCCCAAGCATGGCTCAGGGCCCCCAGAGCATCAGGAGACTGAACAGAACATGGATGTCAAGGGGAAAACAGCGCCTCAGCTTCTGAACTCACAGCCCTAACAGCATGTGCTAGGGGCAGGTGATTGTTTCCATCCCCACCCCATTCTCCAATGCCTATCACCTCCTCCCTCCTCGGACACCCCCCGTACCCCTCGACCCCCCGCCCACCAGCCTTCCCCCTCACCAGCATCCCCCAGACCTCTCCCAGGTTGCAGGAGCATCCCCCACCGATCCCAGCCTCCGGCACGGTGCCTGCCCAGCCCCTCCTGTATCCCAGCACCTCACTTACCTCATTCCCACCCCCCCACCCAGCGTCCCCCATGGCCAGCACCCACCCCTCACCCCCAGCACCCTCCTGCCCAGTCCTCCCAGTGCCCCTCCCACCCTATCCCAGTCACCCCACCAAGGCCTCACCGCCTCCCAGTCCCCCCCCTTCCAGCGCCCAATGCCCCCTCAGTGTCCCACCAAGGCCTCACCAGTGCCCCCACCGCCTCCCAGCCCCCTCTCCCAGCGCACCCCCAGTACCTCACCAGTGCCCCCCCCCAGTGCCGCCCCCCCCACGTCCCAGCCCCACTCACGGCGGTGGGACGCACACACCGCTGTGGGGGCGGCGGCGGCGGCGGAACCGGAAGCGGAGCGGAGCGGAGGGGCCGGGAGGACTCGCGAGGAGCGAGAATAAACCCGCCTCCGCCTAGAGCGGCCGCGCCCTGCCACCATAGAGGCGCGCGGGAGGCGACAGAGCGCCGCACTTCCGGGAGGAGGTGCTCCGCGGAGCCTAAGCTGGGGCCGCGCGGGGGCTCCCCCTGGCGGCGGGGCGGAGCGCAGCGCAGAGGGTGTCATGGCGGAGCTCGGCGCTCACCTCACGGCCGCCTCGGCCGGGGATGACCGGCCCTCCATCTTCGAGGCGGTGGCCCAGGACAGCCTGATGGGCGCCGTGAAACCCGCCCTGCAGCACCTGGTGAAGGTACGTGCGAGGCCTGGGGTGAGGAGGGGGAGCGGAGGCCGTCCGTCCCTCATCACCGTAGGCCTGGGTGAGCGGTGCCTGAGGGTGGCTGCTGTGTGGGGAAGCTGCTGCAGAGGGGCCCTGGGGACACTGCACAGCGTTGCTGAGCCCTTCATCACCTGCATTTACCACACTCATGAACGACTACAACAGTTTTGAACCACCCAGATGGTGTTACAAGCCATAGGCATGACCTGTGAAGGTCCCTTCCTGTTGTATGGACTCAGCATAAGTAGAGCTTCAGTTAGCGTAAGTAGAGCTTCTCTATAAGTGGAAAAATACTAGGCCAGAGGGAAGGTTAGCCAGAGATAGCAGTGGAGGAAACGAAATTGCAACGTTACCGATGAAATTGCAACATTAGCGATGTTAAGAACAAAAAACAGGATGTAAAACTGCAGTGTATGGATGTTGAGGTTTGTGCTAAACATAAGTAGCTGTTGTAACTTGTATTAAGCAACTTTGTGTGAAGCCCAATCAGAAGCTTGTTGGCAAGGCATGTTAACCAATCAGCGTATAATCAATGTGTGGATTTGTGTATAAAAGATCATGTCTGATGCTCAATAAACGGCAATCGCTTGATCACATTGATCATCTCCAAGTTGTCCACGACTCCCGCGTCAACACCTTCCAGCCCAGACTATTCTATGCTAGTTCCTGTTATTCAGCACACTATGTTTTATGCCCTCCTCTTTTGTATCCCTTTCAACAGGTGCTTGCTGAGTCCAATCCTGGCCGATACGGCTTCCTCTGGCACTGGTTTGATGAGATCTATGTCCTTCTGGACGTGCTGCTCCAGCAGCACTACCTGGCTAGGTGCAGTGCTTCCTTTTCTGAAAACTTCTACAGCTTAAAGAGGATTCCCATAGGAGACTGCAGACGGCAACCCTTGGCCACTGCTGGCCTGCCAAAGAGGCAGCACTGGAAGTCTCTTCTCTTGCTGGTTCTTGTTCCTTACCTGAAAGGAAAGCTGGAGAAACTGGTGTCCACCCTGAGGGAAGAGGATGAGTACTCCATCCACCCTCCCTCGTCATCATGGAAGCGCTTCTACAGAGCCTTTCTAGCTGCCTACCCCTTTGTAAACATGACTTGGGAGGGCTGGTTTCTCATCCAGCAACTGTGCTATATCCTGGGGAAGGCTCAGCATCATTCACCCATGCTGCGCCTGGCTGGCGTTCGCCTGGTCAGACTGACTGCGGAGGATATCCTAGCCCTGGAGAAGAAACTGGGGGGAACCACCTCACATCCTGCACCCAGGTATGTCAGAACATGGCTTAGCTGCTCTCGAGGGGGTTCTGTGGGTGTGTTAACGTAGAGGTGATGCTGCAACTGAAAACTTCTCCAGAAATTCTTCAAGATGAGGTTTACCTCTGGCAAAATGTGCTCCAAAAGGGTGTGTTGTCAGTTTGAATGAGGAATCAAGTAGTGGGGATGAGCTTCACAAGATTTTGTGGTCATAAAATGGGGGTCTTTTTTGGCACTTCAGTCTTTATCGTGTTCAGTCTTCACCTGCACTTTTCTAACGAGGGAACCAGACTGCAACTATATTGCTAAAAGGACTAAAACTTAGCTCTTTGATTCCTCTGAGCAGCAGCTAGCCATGACCACACTTAACGTCCTATAAAATGATGATCCATGGGTGAAAAGCTCTGTGATCCAGACCCGCTCAATCCCAACTCTTCCAATTTAGATTTCTGGATAAAACAGGACTTGAAGCTTTCTTAAAATACTAAGAGAAACATCCTAGCAGATGCCTTACTATAAACATGGGATACATTGACCAACTTAGTGTTAAGAAGTTGTGTAAAGCAGTCCCTTCTGCTATGGTTTATATATGTAGTGGTAAGTTTTTCCTTATATAATACCTTAATACATTTATATATTATTTATAATAATAATATTATACATTTATTATAATACATTTATATATAATAATAATATATTAATATACTTAATACCTTCTCTCTGCTACAGCATTAAAACCCAGGTGCAGTCAGCAGTGAGGAAAGCCCTGGGCACCATCGCCTTCTCCCTGTCCACTGGGCTGTCTGTCAGCGTGTTCTTCCTCCAGTTCCTGGACTGGTGGTACTCCTCAGAAAACCAGGAGACCATCAAATCTCTGACCGCGCTCCCAACTCCTCCACCCCCTGTGCACCTCGACCCCAGCTCCACTCTCCTACCCAAACTGAAGACTGTGTGTCCCCTGTGCCACAAAACTCGCGTCAACGCCACAGCCCTATCCACATCTGGCTTTGTCTTCTGCTACCGCTGTGCGTACGGGTACGTGAAGGCTCATCAGCGCTGCCCCATCACAGGCTATGCCACAGAGCTGCAGCATCTTGTCAAACTGTACTCTCCTGAGAGCTGAAAGGAGAGATCCATCCCTGCACCTTGCAGCTGGGTAGCACTGAGCCTGAATTCTCCCCTCCTTGTGTCCCATAAAAGGCTTTGGACCACTACAGCTCATCAGTGAGCTCTAAAGCTGCTTTGCACTTGATGATACATCAGTTTTGCTGCCCTTGTGAATTCTGGTAAGGCTCTCCCCTTTATTAACTGTTCAAACATCCTGTGACAGCCTCAGAGGGACTGGACAGCCCTGGTCTGTCAGCCAGCACAGAAGCACCTTCAAAGACCAACCAAAAGGGAAGAAACATTGATCTGGATAAGATTGTAGATCAAAGACCATCACTGGCAAATTCCCCACTCAAGGGCATGAGCCAGCAAATTAAAGAGGTAGGGAAACTTCTCCAGGGGACTTATTGCTACCACAGCAGCTTCTCAGCACTGCCAGGGCAAGCTCTGGCACTAGTGCTTGTCACAGAGTTAGAGACAGGCTCAAACCTCTGCTCCATCATGCTGTTCTTCAGGGTCCCCCTGATTTTTCAGGCTACTCGCCTCTGAATTGAGAACATCAACCCCCTAATTCCCCTGACAGCTCTAAGTGAAGGGTTTGACTTTTTAAAGGAAGAGAAGTTGACGTGTGTAAACAAGGAGATAAGAGAGACATTACATGTGTGCACAAGGGAGAAAAATGATGAACCAGAGCAAAGCAGCAATGATGGGAGTTGGCTTTTTTGTTAAATAAGTCTTTGCATCGGTTATTATCTGCTTTTATAAAGCAAAAATCTCTCGATTGAGAACCTAACCTTAATTCTTTTCTGGTTACTGGAAAAACAGAGGAGCTCTGTTTACACAAGGGAGACTGGACTGAAGCAGCTTTCATCTTTGCAGACAATGGATAGGCGTATTTTATAGGCTGAGAATCGTTAATATCCACGTTTAATTACTGCATGGCAATTACTCCAGTCCCAGCCATGTAGCACATTCACATCATAGCAAAGCATCTTTTTGCTGAACAGAGGAGAGAACGTTATGGCTGGCCCCTGAGACACCTGGGTTTGTGAGGGAAGGTGTTTTCCTGACTGGGCTCTAGGGAGCAGCAGTCAGCTCTCAGAGACACCACCAGGACATCCCTTGCAGAATATGAAGAGGAAAGTTTGCTCACAATGTACAAGATTTTTCCAGATTAAGTGGTAATTTCTAACATTTAATCCACTGAACCGGGTCAGCTCATTTCCCTCTGCACTTTAGCTTTGCTTCAGAAGATAAAAATCTCCAATATGCTGCCTCACCTATAAGCAAGATAGCAAGGTTATTGAATAACATGGAAAAAGACAGCAATTTGTATCCTAAAGATGCTCTGGAAAACACCTGCTGTAACAAATGAGATTTGTCACTTGTCTTACTAGCTCTGTGCAACTTCCAGACCCTTCCACCTGTGCCACTATGGAATAAAAACTCTCTCATTTTTCCTTTAGTAGTTAATGGATCTTTAAAGACACCTCTCCCTTTAAAAAGCCAGGAAGAGCATGTGCATCTTGCTGGAAAAGAAATCACAGAAAGGACCAAGATTTTCTGAGACTTCAGATCACTTTTAATGTAGCTGGCTTTGAGCTGGTTGTTAATTCACATCACTTGCTTCATACAGAGAAATCATCATCTCTGTGAAAAAACAGCATCTAAACCACTCCACGCATGTGCTGTGTGGTCTTAAAAGTACCCATCTGATCAGACAGACATGGGCCTGAGTGTCCTGGAGACTGACTGCAGCCACTCATTTACATAAGGGATGAAGGATTTGACTGATGATTCAGTTTTAGGATAGGTTTAATGTCCTTTTATCCTGCCTATACTTTCCAAAATAAGCACAACCCAAGCTGCCTCCGTGCACACACTGCCCCTTGTACACCTCCTTCTTCCAGGGTTAATCTCTTTCCCTCTCCCCAGAGTGGATGCCTCCCTGCCAGGCCCTGGCTGCTTCCACTCTGCCTCACACCACACAACACCCTGTCCTTGCCAGACCAACTCCACAGCACCTCTGAGACCTGCACAGAACCACCCACATCTAAGCCCCACAGTTCTGAACAGCTGTAATTACTCTCTTGAATATTAAATTGTTTTTTAATGCTTAGCTGACTAACAAGCATTAAGCTCACAACAGTGACAGGCTCAGCAGTTACCTGGCAGATTTTGCAAGTGTTCCTGCAGAATACCAACTTGGATTTGACTGCTTCTTCTAACCCTCCTGTTCTTAGGAGCCAAATACATACCCTTTTATCAGGTTTATTGCTCTAAAACAAAGCTATAAACCAGTTTGGATTATACAAACATTCCCTTTTATGTGCTTTTAAATGTAATAGTGTTATTAAAGCCATGATGGCCTAAAGATAGACAAGATTTTTTTTAGGGAATATCAACTTTATTAAACCATCCTTCAGACTTACATACTGATTTGTAACTTCTATACAGGCACATACGTATACATTCAGGATGCTTTGTTCTAAGTTCTGTGGCTTAATACAATTACATCAACATTAACAGCAGCACTGGAGCTGCTCAATATGTTACTGTCAGAACTTGACTAAAGTCTTTTAAAAAGCATTTAATGAAGCTAAGCCACATTCACAACTCATCCAGACACTTAGAAAGTGAGTGCATAAGCAACTGAGTTGCTTTCCTCACTTCCTTACAGAAACCACATTGCTTCTGTTATGAGAAACCCACCATAATTATACTCCTCAGTATACACTCCCTGTAGAAGCTTCCTTCTTCACAGGAAAAGAGAAATTAATGTAGAGCCATCATCAAGACCTGGAAGAGATTAAAAACTTGATTAGGGAATAGCTCCAGATCTCTTCCTGTACTTCCTTGATTAGCCCAGCCTTTCCCCTGTCACTTCCTCCAGAGCAGAACACCAGAGCCAGGCCCAACACCACAACTCTCTTCCAAAACCATTCCTCCTAGCAATCATGTATGAGGGTACAGCTGAACCAACTGCTAATGAGGTGCCTACAGGACAGACAGCTCAAACTCCATTTCACAGAGTAAAATGCACTGCATTTACAGAGAAGATGCAGTGGCAGAGCATCTGGAGTTTCATGTGCCATACTGCACACAGACAAAACAAGAAACCTCCCTTGCTGCAAGCTCAGTTCTAAACCCATCATTGCAGCAGGATGCACAAACCCAAACGAGTGTTTGCACTACTCACTTGCCAAATCAAGGTTTTTGTTTTCTGCCAATAAAATAAATGGCTACAAATTCTTAATACTTACATGTGAAGATTTTTAGGGTTTGGGTTGGTTTGTTGTGTGTGTGTGTGTGTGTGTCCCAGTTTTTTTTAGGACAAATTAAAAAGTTTCAAGCAGCAAAGCTATTTACTCCAGATGAGCTCAGCCTAAATAAGCTCAGAGAGAAGATTACATGATCATGCCCTGGTCAGAGCAAAGACACACAGTCTCAGCAATACCAGTTCAGACTATACTTCACTCATCATTGCTTCAGGCAAGTGTATTTTCATTCCATAAGAAGCTTGCTCCCAACTCAGAAACTAGAACAGAAAAGTTTTTTTCCCTGAAGGAAAACCACACACACACATCTCCCCACACCCAAACACAGATTAACTTGGGGTTTGGGTTAATTCTTTTCAGGATCACACAGCTTTGTACAGGATGGAGTTTGCAGTAAGTTAACAGCAACCCTTGGGAGATGAGACAGGCATGGCTGTTATAAGAAACTGAGCCCCAAGCTGCTATTTCTATCTTCACACAGCTGGATGGAGGTGGTACTTTGCACCATCAGGATGGATGTAGTCTCTCCATGAGGAGCTCCTGTGCATGATAAATCCATGTTGGTGGAGTAACACTGGCAAAACTCCATTTCCCTTTCCCAAACACCACGAGCTAAACCAGCAGCCTTCCTCTCTTTCCTCCTGACATTTATACGCAAAGCCACCCCACAAGGCATACGAGCCTCCAAATAAGCATTCATTAAAGCTCTAGCTGATCTGCAGGCAGGCTGCAGATAAAGTTTTAAGCTCATCCATTAATTAACGGTGTGGTTTTTCTCCTTATCACGACCTCCTGGTATAGGTAACAAGGGGAGAAGGCACATTTAGCAAGGGAGGAAGGTGACATGCTGATGGAACGGAACTGGAGCTCGGGAAGACAGGTCAGGAGCTAGGATTCCGTGGTCAGGACGGCCAGTCCCAGGCAAAGCCACGGGGAAAAATCCCATCGTACCTACAAACGCTGCCGAATCCAGCGGCTCTCCGAGGGTCCAGAGGTGTCTGTTTCGATCTAACCACCCATTACCCACCTCCTTCCTTGCACTCTCTCCCCAGACCCTTGCAGCTCTTCAGTCCCCCGTTCCTTTACCCCTACCCTCTTTCCCAGTCGGCTCCTGCAGCAGCACCCCCCCCCATCCCGCTCACCTCCACGCCCGTTCAGCCACAGATCCCTCGCCTCAGTCGGGTCTCCCCCTCCCAGCCAGGCCCCCAGCCCCTTGCGCACCTCCGGCCCGCACCCCGAGCCCTCACCCACCCTACCCTGATCCCCCCCTTGCCCCCAGCCCCTTGCGCACCTCCGGCCCGCACCCCGAACCCTCACCCACCCTACCCTGATCCCCCCTTACCCCCAGCCCCTCTCCACCCCGTCCCCCTCACACCGCTCCCGCAGACCCAGACACGCCGAGGCGAAGCTGCCCCGCCTTTGTCCCACCCCCAGTGGCCAACAGCCAATGGCAGCGCGCGGCACTGCCGGCGAGGTCGGGTGGGCACCAATCGGAAGGCGCGTTAGCGGCGGTCGGGGCGGTGCGAGCGTTTCCCGCCCTGTGAGGAGGCCTGAGGGGACGGGAAGGGGCGGGATGAGCCAGCGGCGTTTCCCTTTCCCGTTAACGTTGTGTTCCGTTTCCTCAGCGACACCGGTTGCGGAGCCGAAGCGACGATGGTAAGTGACCGCCTCCAACACCGCCCAGTCCCGAGAGCCCGGCTCTCCCGGCGGCATATTGTGTAGAGGCGGCTCCACCACAGAGGGGCAGCGCGAAACCGGCTGAGAGGAGGGAAGAAATAAACCATGAGGGAGAAATAGAAATAGGTAAATAAAAATATTCCAATCACTGAGGTGCTGTGGAAGGCAAAACTTCGTGGTTTAATGTGCAAGTTCGAATAAAATGTGTATTTAAGGCCAGATGTAAGGAATAAAGGCCAGGACACCAGAAGGCAGTCTGAAGAGGGGCAAAGGAAGACAAGGGGCAAAGCAAGGAGGGGGGGATTAAGACTGTCTCCTGCCAAGGGGGTCGGGAAGGGGACTCTCTTTTACACAGTACGGAATGAAAAGCTAAAAAGCATTATTGTATTGTCCATGAAGCTGTAATCCTGCCCACAAACAGAGCCTGTTTCTATTTCCTTCCTCTCCTGCTTGCTCTTTTCCCTGCAGTTTCATTTTCTCTCATCTCCTCCCTCAAACCAATTCTCCTCCACTGCTGTGAGAGGCTTCTCAAGGCTTTGTGGTGAAGCCCAAGCCCTTCCCTGCTCTCAGTCATAGAATCATAGAATAGTCAGGGTTGGAAAGGACCTTAAGATCATCCAGTTCCATATCCCCCCCCCCCAACACCTCACACTAAACCATGTCACCCAAGGCTCTGTCCAGCCTGTACTTGAACACTGCCAGGGATGGAGCATTCACAACATCCCTGGGCAACCCATCCCAGTGCCTCACCACCCTAACAGGAAAGAACTTCTTCCTTAGATCCAAACTAAACTTCCCCTGTTTAAGTGAACCCGTTACCCCTTGTGCTATCATTACAGTCCCTAATGAAGATTCCCTCCCCAGCATGCCTATAGCCCCCCTTCAGATACTGGAAGGCTGCTCTGAGGTCTCCATCAGCTTCTCTTCTCCAGGCTGAACAGCCCCAACTTTCTCAGCCTGTCTTCATACGGGAGGTGCTCCAGCCCCTGAGCATCCTCATGGCCTCCTCTGGACTTGTTCCAACAGTTCCATGTCCTTTTTATGTTGAGGACACCAGAACTGCACACAATGCTCCAGGTGAGGTCTCACAAGAGCAGAGTAGAGGGGCAGGATCACCTCCTTCGACCTGCTGGTCACGCTCCCTTTGATGCAGCCCAGGATACAGTTGGCTTCTGGGTTGCAAGCAGTCCTCCCATTACTGCTCTAATCTCAGTGCCTTGGCTGGAATTTGCCTCCAAGGAGGGAGGTGACACTGAGGATGTTCCAGAGTGGTCCCCAGCCTAGATCACTTTCATGGGGAAAACTTATGAGGCAGGTTAAGCCATAACATTAATTATTTCAGCTGCAAGTTGTATATGGACATGATTTCAATATAAATTTATATAATGAAGTTGAATGTAATGACCAACTGGTGTGTTTTCTCTTTGTTCTGCTTCTTCCGTCAATGAGCTCTTTTCAGCATTCCCTGTTGAGCCAAATGCCGTTCCCTGGTGTGAACCTCAGCTTAAGCCATTAAGCTCCTACAGCCTTTCACAGTGACTTGGCCCATTCATCTGAGCATCACTGGGTAAGGTTGCAAGTGGTGAGAATCCAGTCTGTGCTACCCCTTACTCCAGCCTCCTGGGTCTTAATACAAGGCTGCAAGTGGGAGTTCTCCCTTTGCTTAATAAAACCAGAAGAGGAATTCCACATGGAACAAAGATGTGAATTTATTAAGAGTTCACCCACCTCTTCAGGCTGTCTAAAACTACCATAATTTAACAAAGCACACAGCTATTACCCAGCCTATTTTCTGACTACAGAACAGAAGGCATTTAACCCTCCCCATTCCACCATTGCTAGGAATTCCACAACTACCAGGAGCTGTAGATGGTTGCAGGAGAGATTGCAGCTCAACTGAATTGCCTTCTACAATCCACAGTGCATCTGCAACACAACCGACTCTTTACAGCTGGGCCTTGAAGCCTTCATTGAAGGGGCAGAAAGGGTTTAACAGCAATTACTCAGATGGACACTTCCCAACTTTCCCAGTCCCTCTTTTCCTCATATTGTTTCTGATCTTCCAAAATCATCCCCAGATGATTCCATGCCTTAACAATGGCATGAGATTTCCCTCATGGCTCTCACTGTTACACATTTCTCAGTGGCTTTTTTCCTGTCCACATTATCTTTGGTGCTTTTCATTTCCTCATGCCTGAGAGAGGGGTTTGATGAGCCCATAATCCATGCACCTCGTGAGGCAGTCGTGTGCTACATTAATGATGTGCTGCTTCTTGGGGTCTTCCTGCTTGCCGATGTACGTCAGGATCTCTAGGAGCTCCGTCTCCACCAGCTTCTTTGCTAGGTCTTTGTCAGCATTGATTAAGTTGAAAGCGATGACCAGTCCTCGGTGCTGTACTTCCATGTTCTCATGCAAGCAGAGCCTCTGCAGGATTTCAAGCCATTGGGTGGTCTTCGAGGGAGAGAGAGATCATTAGTATTGATCTGAAGAACACCTCAACTGAGAACGTGAGTTTGGAAAGGCATTTCTTAGCAGAAGAAAGCGCATGAATCAAAGGCACTGGCACCACATGAAACATGTTTCATGTTTAGGTTGCCACTTAATCTCTGTGCAAAGATTCTGATCAGAATATTGACACAATGATAACTGAAGCAGACCACCCATTCCCATGGGTGATGCACTGATCTTCCTGAGCCCCTTCTGTGGCTTGATTCACCACTTTTATTCTAACAAGGCCCGGTGTCCAACATCGACACAACAGAGTTCATTAGTTCTCAGCCACAGCTCTTCACAGATACTCAACCATGCAGGGTCCGAGTCCTAAGGACTTACAGACCTGTGCAGGAAATTGAGATGTTTGGGGATCTGGAAAGCTTAATATGTTATCTGTCAAGCTTTTCTCATGTCTGAGTGAAACAAGGTTTGGATCTCAGGTTATTTATCAAAAGCTTTAAGAGCCTATAGAATAATATTCTGCATTCCTACCCTTGCTTGACAGTTAGCATCCTGGACTTAGCTTGTGGAATGGCTATATAGAAATGTTTCAGCTCTGAGATGAAGTCTTCTATAAAGTAGACTGCTTTACTTCATGCAGGGATGAACTAGAAGCATGCACAGCCAGGTCTCAACTTCACCAAGTTCCTCACTATAAAACTGGTGCACTGCATCTTCCTTTTGAGTGGTATTTCCATGGCTGAGCCAGGCCCCTTCAAGGGTATATCTACTGCCAATAATCAGACTTTGGGTCTTACCACTTCAGTCATTTTAGAGCAGAGCTTCTTTTGTGCTGCTGTAAGCATG